TGTGTGTGTGTGTGTGTGTGTGTGTGTGTGTGTGTGTGTGTGTGTGTTTTACTTTATTTCTCGTTTGTTTTTCTAAGTAATAAAATTTTTTTTTCAGAAAAGTTATTTTCTAAAATGAGTCCTATTGAGGACTCATGCATAATAAAGAGGGAAGACCATATTTCATTTCTTTAAGAATTTCTTTTTCCATATTAATTATACTTGATTTTGTTAGTGTGGATATTTCTGCCATTGATACAGATGACATCCTTTTCTGAATTGAGAGTCATGATGCCTGTGGCTCACATCTTATGTCCCTCTCTCATAGACTGTTATTAAAGATAAACCACCTAAACTCGCTGAGCTCGCTTTGTTTTTTGTAAAATGAAGATAATAATAATAATAATAATAATACTACCTATAAAAGTACATTACTGAGTTGTGTGGATTAAATTATATTGTTTATATAATGGGCTTTGCAAACCTCAAAGTGTTATGTTGTTTTATTGTTATTTAATCATCTTCATTGTACAGAAGAGATTCAGGTTCAGAGACCCTTCCCTCAAGTCACACAGGTAGTAAGCAGCTAAGCCATAATTCTAGATTTAGAACTAGAAAGGACTTCAGATATACTCTAGTCTGGTCCCTCTTTTTTATAGGTGAGGGAAATGAGGCTTAAGAGAGATTTAGTGATTTGCCCCAGGCATATAGTGAACCAAGGTTGAATTTGCACCTTTGTTTTTATTTATTTATTTTTTTGGTAAGGCAATTGGGGTTAAGTGACTTGCCCGAGGTCACAGAGCTAGTACCTGTCAAGTGTTTGGTCTGAGGTTGGATTTGAACTCAGGCCCTCCTGACTTCAGGGCCAGTTCTGTATCCACTGTGCCACCTAGCTGCCCCTGCCCATGTTTTTAGACTCCAAATCCAGTGCTATTTGAAGCTCAGCCCTTTTATTCCTAATTTAGTATTCTTTGCAATATACTAACAGCCTCTAATAGCAGAATTAAGGATTCGTTATCATTACTTTTAAGGTAGAGGGGTCAGAAACGATTTTTTCAGAGAACTAAAAATGAAACACACTGTCAGCCCCCTTCCAGAAGAGGTGATGGACTCAAAATGCTAAATGAAACATACATTATTGGACATGGCCAGTGAGAGAATGTGCTTTGCTTCACTGTGCAAATTTCTTATGAGGGCTTTATTTATTTATTTCTTTATTGTTAATCAGGAAGGAAAGAAAATAAATGATTGTTAATTGGAAAAAATAATAAAATAAAAGAAACCTCCTAGGACAACTGTTCCAGATTTGACTGACCTAAGTGTGACTTTAGTTGATGACACATGACCAAAAGACCCCTGAAAGGGTCCACAACTTCTCCCATCTGACTTTCAGGGTTTAGAATCAAAAGGGATCTTGGAATTCATTTAGTCAAACCCTCTCTGATAAATTGAGTAACTGAGGCCCAGGAAGGTGGAAAGACTTGACCATGGTCACACAAATCATGAGTAGCAAAGCTGAATTGGAATCCAGGTTTTTGGAGCTACCGATCCATCTTTGATAACAGAGATTGTGACAAACTTGCAGAAGGCATGAAATAGTTGATTCTTCTTTAAGTTGCCACTCATCTAACAAACTCCTCTGATGAAGTCCTATTTGGGAAATCTAAGAAATAATCACAATGAGTTATATTTCCAGTCCAGATCAGTGTAGCACTTCAGACAGAGAGCTCTGCTGACACCAGGGACAGGGTCTGCCACACAGGACATTCCAGCACTCAGTAACTGAAAGAAGATTGAACCTCTTCACAAGAGAAAGAACAGGTCCCAGACTCATATAGTGGAGCAACATCTTTGTTCAAGTTTGCCATAATCGGGACCAGCTGGCAGCTTTGTTGCTCACTAGCCAATTCTGGGTTACACATCCACGGTGAACTTAGATGGAGACCTATACCTAGGGGTTTCATTCCAGATTGAGAAGCAGTTCCAGGATGAGGAGTGGTTGAGTGCCCTTGGCTGTGTACTGAACAAGGAAAAATTCAGAAGCAAATAGTAGATTTGAGGCTCTCACCCCAGTTGCTGAGTGGGTTTGCAGTTTTAAAACTCTCACCTAGTCTAGAGATTGCAGCAGAGTAACTAGTGTAGGAATCCCAGACTAAAGGGGTGCCTGCAGTTACATCTCTCTAAATCATCCAGTTGGTTAATAGTAATCTAATCCATTATACCCATAACTACACAGAGCCTTACAATGAAGTCTGAAATCAGGGCGGAGGGTGGAAGAATGAGTAAAAAACAAAAAGAACCTTACAATAAAAAGTTATTATGATTATTTGGACATTAAAGACACGAACACAGAAGAGAATGACCCTAAAACATGTACAAGCAAAGCCTCAAAAATAAGCACAGTGTGGGCACAAATTCAACTAGAATTCCTGGGAGAAAGAGAGCAAAAGTTGAAAACATTAGAAATACTTTTTTAAGTCAAATGAAAATGCTAGAGATAAAAATTTGGAAAAAATGAAAGTTATGCAATAAGGAATTGGAAAGGGAATTAACAAACTGGCATGAGAGTTAAAAATCCTTGATCAAGTAACAATCCCTTGGAAAATTAGAATGAACCAAATAAAATTTCATGACTCTATGAGAATCATTGGACTATCTGAGAGCCATGGACAACAAAATAGCAGAGACATCATATTTGAAGAGATCTTAAAATTTCCCACTGCTCTTAGAAGAATAGGGCTACAGAAAGAATCCATTCATTACCTCCTCAAAAAAACACCAAAATGAAATCTCTCAGGAATGTTATAACCCAAATCCAGAGTCATGGGGGGAAAAATCCTTCAAGCAATCAGAAAGAAAGAATTTAAGTAACAGAGTCACAGTCAGGATCACAAAGAATTTAGCAGCCATGACTCCAAAGGATCAGATGGCTTGGAATTTAGTATTCCAGAAAGCAAAGAATATAAGGTTACACTCAAGAATAACTTACCCAGCAAATTTAAATATAGTCTTTTAGGGGAAAAATGGATCTTTAATGAAATAGAGGACTGTCAAGCTGTATCAATGGGATACAGAGGGATGGTCCCACCTCCAAGAGGGTATTGAGATACTGAAGAGAGGCCAATTTTCACCAGCATGTAAGGAATAGGTTTTATTGGGGGAAACTTAATCACGATGCCAGGCCAAGGTGTCTTAATGATCTTTACAAAAGTACAAAAAAGAAAAATACACTGAGGGGTGAGAAAAGGTAATGTAGAAGTTTATACAAAAAAAAAGGAACAAAAAAAAAGGAAATAGGGGAGAAAGGAGAGAAGGCAAAAGATAGAATTTAAGGTTGGATAGATTAAGGAAGGGATTAATTGTAAGCAAAGTGACTTCTAATAATGTATAAAAATATTCATAACTCTTCTTGAATCAGGAATTTGAGGAGGTGCCTATCAATTGAAAAACTGATAAATAAGTCATGGTTTTATGAATGTTATGGAAACTATTTGCTGTAAAAATGATGAAGGCAATGGTTTCAGAAAAGTCTTAAGAAGAGTTGTATGAATTGATGCAGAATGAAATGAACAGAACCAGGAAAATTGTACAGTGACAACCAGATGGTAAAGACAAATAACTTTTGAACAACTTAGGAACCCTGATCCACACAATGACAAATTATAATTCCATAGGACTCCTGATTCTGAATCATGCTGCTTTACTCCTTTGAAAGAGGTGAAAGACTCTTCTGTGGAGGAAATAGAGCATAAATGGAATAGAGGACCTCCAGTCATTCCTGACAAAAAGACCAAAGCTGAGCAGGAACTCTGAAATACATACAGAGGAAGTAAAAGAAATATGGTGTCGTTCAGTTGTTTCAGTTGTGTTTGACTCTTTCTGATCCCATTTGGGGTTTTCTTGGCAAAGATATTGGAATGGTTGGCCATTTCTTTCTCCAGCTCATTTTACAGATGAGGTAGCTGAGGCCAACGGGATTAAGTGACATACCCAGGATCACACAGTGTCAGTCCAGATTTGAACTCAGGAAGAGGAGTCTTCCTGACTTCAGGTGTGGCACTCTATCCACTATGTCACCTAGCTGCCCCAGAAGAAATGTACAAAGGAAATATGAATGAGCAATCAAAAGGAACTAAACAAGAATAAATTGCTTACGTTCTAATATAGGGAGATGGTTCATATATACCCTTATAACTTTTCATCATCAGGGGCATAAGTAGAGTCTACTTAAACAGAGATCTTGAAAGTGCTTGTGTTATATTTTGATGATTTTAAAAGAATGTAAAGGGAGGGGAAATTATCCATGTGTGTGTGGGAGAAGTACCTGACACATGAATTTCACTGTCATCTGGATTTGTCAAAGTAGGGAAGGAAATCTACATAGTTGGATGTTGTTGTTCAATGGTTTTTCAATTGTATCTGATGTTTCCTGACCTCATGTGGGATATTCTTAGCAAAGATGCTAGAGTGGTTGACCATTTCCTTTTCCAGTTTATTTTACAGATGAGGAAACTGAGGTGAACAGGATGAAGTGACTTGCCCAGAGTGACACAGTATGTGTCTGAGGCTAGATTTGAATTCAGGAAGATGAATCTTCCTGGTTCCAGGCCTGTCATTCTATTCATTGCACCACCTTTGCTGAAATACGTTTTACTCAACAGTGAACCAGGAAGGAAAGGAGAGAAATAAAAGGGGAGGAGAAATAAGAGGAAGTCTATATTAAGGGAAAGATAAGTCATAAAGCAATACAAACTCTATGTAAGTGGAGTTTTATTCAAAAAAGGGCTTAAAAGAAAATAAGGAAAGCATGAAAGTTTGGTATTGGGCTCTGGGAGAGGAAAAGAGAGAATGGGCAGGGAAACACAAACAGATTAAGATTATATCAAACGTAGAATAGTGGTGCTGAGCTCACTTGTTTTT